TTTATGTATTTTAAGGTTATATTATTAGATATAGGTGTATATATATAAATATATCTAATATGCATTAGATATTATTAGTCATATATTTCTGTTGAACAGTCTTCTATATCATTATAAAATATTGCTCTTTATTATGGGATAAAGATTTAATAGCACTCTTTTGGATACTTTTATATGACATATTTTTTCTTTTACTTCCAAGCCTTCCTTGGACTTATATTTAAAATATGTATCTTTTGGTATTTTTTAATTATCTATTTTGATTATCTTTTTTTTTTATATTAGTATGTTTAGTTCATTTATATTATATGTGATTTCTCATTTATTTGGGCTTGAATATATCATCATGGTGTTTACACAATTGATTCCTTGATGCTTTTTTCTCTTGTCTTCACTTGGTTTATAATCATTAAGTATTGTTTTTGTCATTTTTCCCTCAATTAGCTTCTTAATTGTGTGTTCTTTCATTAGTCTTGTAGTGGTTACGCTGAAGATAACAATGTACATTCTGAAATTGTTACAGAGTCTCCCTTACCTTCTAAAGATAAATATAATAATTGAAATTATTCATCACTTTCCAGAAACTACAAATACTTGTAACACCCCTCTCTTTCTTATCCCTTATGTATTGTACATATTTTAATTCTTCATGTCACTTAAAACACAAAGACATTACTTTTTTATTTTAAATAATCAATATTATTTAGATTTAACCATATATTCATTCTTTACTGTTTACTGTTCTTCCACCTGGAGTTATTTTCCTTATGCATGAAAAGTTACCTTTGATGCAATCTGTTGGCACCATATTATTTGTTTGAAAGTGTTTCTATTTAACCTCATAGGTAATATTTTTTCTGACTGTAGAATTTATGTTAGCAGCTTTTTTCATTTGGCATTTCAGATAGGTTATTTTTGGTTTTTGAGCTTGTTTTGCTTTTATTGAGAAAATACACTGTCAGTCTTATTGTTGCTCATTTGAAAGAAATGTCTCTTTTTAATTGGTGACTTTCAGATTTTTCTGTTTTTAGTTTTCAGTGATTTTACTATAGTTTGCCTTGCTTTGTGTGTGTTTGTGAGTGTGGTTTTTGTTTTTTGTATTTTGCAAGGTTTATAGTGTTTACTGAATCTGTGTCTTGATGTCTTTCTTTTGCTGGAAGATTCTTAGCCATTTTCTTTTCAAATATTGCTGTTGCCTATTCTCTGTCTTCTTTCTGAGACTCCAATTATGTGTACATTCGACATTTTCACTTATCTTTTCTAGAGTTTCCTTTTCTTCCCCATAGACTCCAGTCTCTGGCAAAATTTACTTTTCCTATATTTTCCTGTACATATTAATCATACCGATTTTGATGTCCCAGTCTTATATGTGTAATATTTGCTTTGGGTGTATCTATCGCATTTTTTCCCCTCACTTGGCATTTGATCATTTATTTGGTTCTGTTTCTTGGCATACCTGGTCACTTTGTATTGAACTTTAGATTTTGTGAGTTTAAAATTACAGAAGCTCTTCAAGATGTGTTCCTTCCAGGTAGATTTAATTTTGTCTTACAAGCAAGTAGAATATGAGATGACTTTGTTCTATTTCTTGCTACTTCTGATCTGCCTTTCTTCTACTAGTTCATCATTGTATTGGGGTCTCAACTAAAAGCATGGTGTTTTTACCAGAGCTCCTCACTGGTGAGTCCTTAACTCTAATCTCTGTCTCCCAGTATTCTTGGGATTGCTGAAATATTGGTCAGCCCTGTAGCCTTCTGACTCTTGGCTTCCAGCTTTCTCATCCAGAAAATGTTCCTTTTAATAGTTGGCAAATACAGATATTTCTGTTCATTTCTCTGTTGTTCCTTCCTTGTAAGGCTCCTGACCCTTTAAATCTTCGGTAGTCTCAAACTCCAACTTTTATTTTCCCATTCCAATGAGATTTACTCAAGCACTGGGCTGCAGCTTGGCCTCTATTTCCCCATAGACTGAATCTGAAAGTGCACTGAGGAGAAAAGAAAGCACCTCTATACCTTCCTATGTCACCAGCCGTTGCCCCCTTAGGTTCTGGCTTACTGGGCTGTGCTTTGATGCCTGCAAAGAGTAATTTTTGGGGGTTTTTATTTTTAAAAAATCTTTTATCTTTCCCCCCTCATCATTAAGATGCATGATATGATATAAACTACTTTATCAAGTCTGAAATAAGTCTCTTAATGTACATTTTTCACACATCAATTTTTGATATCTAAAGAAAGCTGATTCCATAGATGACATTTTTAAATTCTAAAGGCTCATAGATTCTACAATTTTAGCTAATAGTTTACATCTCTTTGAGTATTGTTTTATTTCCTTCTACTTTTAATGCTCCTTTCTGTACATCCTTAAAGGGACCTTCCCTTGTTTGCCTTATGTCTCTGATTCATGATCTTGAGATGAATTCTACTTGCATTATTGTTGTTATATACATAATCTTACTATAAAACTCTCATTGTAGAAAGCATGTTTCTTAAATCTGTATTTTTTTCATCAAGTTGATAGTTTTCACCTTTTCTACTATGTATCTTTAAGCACTCTAGATTTGCTCTTTACATTTAATATGTTAACATTTTCTTTATGAATTTTTATCTTTTTACAAACCTAAACTGATTTTTCTACTGAAAATGACAGTTGTTTAAAATGATAATGGAAACTTCTCAAAGGACTATGCCTATCTGGGTTACAGTTTTCTAAAAGTATTGTTACACACTAGAACTGATTGAATTATGATTCTAAGTTGAAAAACATCATTGCATTTATAAAACATTTTAATTGAAGATGCTCAAGGACCATCATGGCTGGTCAGAGAACACTCAAAACTTAAACTTTTGTCTTTAAAAGTAAACTCTTTGCTTCTTGGTGGTGTTGGTATTGCTGTGGTTGTGTTTTTATTTAAAAAAATTATAGAATGCTCACTGTATGACAAGTATTGATGCCAGGGATTTATAGAAAGCAATTAAGAGTTCTTGCATTTTGTAGGTGTAAGTTTCGTTGTTTTCAAAGCACTCTCCTCTGAACTTTTTCATATTATCTCTGATTATAGGCATTCACTTGTAAAATCATATGTTAGATGCTGTATGTTCTATACACAGTTAAAATTACTTTTTCTGGGCCAGGCACAGTGGCTCACGCCTGTAATCTCAGCACTTTGGGAGGCCAAGGCGAGTAGATCATGAGGTCAGGAGTTTAAGACCAGCCTGATCAACATGGTGAAACCTCGTTTCTACTAAAAATACAAAAATTATCTGGGCCTAGTGGCACATGCCTGTAATTTCAGCTACTCAGCAGGTGGAGGCAGGAGAATCACTTGAACCTGGGAGGCACAGGTTGCAGTGAGCCGATATTGTGCCACTGCACTCCAGCCTAGGTGACAGAACAAGGCTCTGTCTCAAAAAAAAAAAAAAACCTTTTCTGAAAAATTAATTATCTATGTAATGTATTACTTCATGTCTCACTACCTCGTGCTAATGACATAAGTAATAATGTTAGTCCAGAAAGAAGTAGAAATTCAATAGTACTAGGTACTCAGCTTCCCAGTCTGTCTAAATTTTCTGGTAGTGGGATTTGAAGGTTCCAATTGGCTGCAAAATATTTAACAATAATATTTAAGAAATAATAGTTTGATATTAGTGATCCAACTCAAAGATGTAATTATCTTTTAATTTACTAGGAAAATGGATGACGTTTCAAATGGAGAGGTGAAGAAAATATGCCTTTGTGTCTACTGTAGTATTAGTGTTTCTGGATATATTAGTTTTCTATTGCTGCTGTTATCAAATCACCACAAATTTGGTGGCCTAAACAATACAAATTTATTACCGTATAGTTCTTTAAGTCAGAAATCTGACACCAAGCTAAAACCTAAGTGTTTGATAGGGCCGTATTTCTTTCTGGGGGCTATAGGGAATAATTAGTTTCCTGCTCATTCAGGTTATTCACATGTTTCAATTATTGGAGTTGTAGGACCAGGACTGAGATTCTCATTTTTTTGCTTATTGTAAACTGAGAGCCTTTCACAGCTTATAGTGGCCGCAATATTTCTTATGTTCCAGCTCCCTCCTTCCATTTTCAAAGCTAACAGTTCCTGATTGAGTTCTCATGTTACATCTCTCTGACTCCTTCTTCTTCAGTTATTGGCCATCTTTTACAACTACTGTGATTAGATTTGACTCACCTGTGTAAGCCTGTTGATCTGTCTATTTCAAAGTCTTCACTCTTAATCCAATCTGCAAAGTCTCTTTTGCCATGTAAGGTAACATATCTACAGCTTCTGGGGACTAAAGTATGTGCATCTTTGATAGGTCATTATTCTGCCTACCACGTTGTCTAACCTAGGAATTTATAATGTTTTATATAAAACAAAACAAAACTACAGTTTGAGAACCTGACTCAGGGAGAACTAAAAACTGGTAAGCTTCTTTGTTCTTTCCACTGAACAACTCTTCTTATTTTGACCTCAGGCTAGAGATGACTACTTCTCATCTAATCCAAGGAACGAGGTTAATTAGAGTTGCTATTTTAGTTGCTCCTTGGGTGAGGGAGGCAGTCAAATGTTTTCACTTATAAACCTTTTTGAGGGCTATGGGAATAAAAGTAAGTAATAATAATAGTTTACAAGTGCTTTTATGTACTAGGTGCAGTGCTAAGCCCTATTACTCCACTTTCTCTTTTATTCCATTTACCAACTCTGTAAGGTACGTACCATGATTATTCCACATTACAGATGAGAAAACTAGGCATAGAAGTTGGGTAGCTTGCTCAATGTTTGGCTAGTTAGTATTATAGCCAGAATTCAAACCCAGATCTTTTTGATGTTTAAGCTTATTATTTTTATGTTTACTATACTGTCTGTATTTTGTGATAGTATACATTATTATTGCTATTATCATGTTCTGCAAGTATTTACATTGGAAGTTTGCTACTTGAAGTTATTGTCTTATCAAGTTGAGTACGTTTTACATTTAATTATATTCTTGTTCATACAGGTGAAAAACCATACAAGTGTCAAATTTGCAATCAGTCTTTTAGAATTAAGAAAACATTAACAAAGCACCTGGTTATTCATTCTGATGCCCGACCTTTCAACTGTCAGCATTGTAATGCAACATTTAAGCGGAAAGACAAGCTGAAATACCATATTGACCATGTTCATGAAATAAAATCTCCTGATGATTCTCTCAGTACTTCTGAGGAAAAACTTGTATCCTTGCCAGTAGAGTACTCATCCGATGATAAAATCTTTCAAACAGAAACAAAACAATACATGGACCAGCCCAAAGTTTATCAATCGGAAGCCAAGACAATGTTACAGAATGTATCTGCTGAAGTATGTGTTCCAGTAACGCTGGTTCCAGTTCAGATGCCTGACACTCCGAGTGACCTAGTGCGTCATACTACCACACTCCCACCATCTTCTCACGAGATTCTGTCACCACAGCCGCAATCAACTGATTATCCACGAGCAGCGGATTTAGCTTTTCTGGAAAAATATACTCTTACTCCTCAACCTGCAAATATAGTTCACCCAGTTCGACCTGAGCAAATGCTGGATCCTAGAGAACAGTCTTATCTTGGAACATTACTGGGCCTTGATAGCGCTACTGGTGTTCAAAATATTTCTACTAATGAGCATCATTCATGAGTAAATCTAAACATTCCACAGAGTTTTGGATGGTTATATGCTAATGGTAGAGCTGATAGCTTTTAAATTTGTGGGGCTGCTATTTTCTCATTTTCTCTAGTTTCTCAAGTCCTCAGAATAGTGTCAAATCAAGAAAACTATGTGTCTCTGTTTACTGAACATGAATATTTGGACAACATTTCTGGCCTAATATTGGAAGTATACATTTTTGTGATTTTTAAAGATTATTTAGTGCTGTCTTTTAATAGTTTCTTAAATTTTTCACAATTATTAGCTGCTGATATTATGGAAGTATTTTTTTTAATCATCAGTGAAAATTTTTATTCTTCTTTAGTCTCATTCTTCTCCTTACTTCCCCATCTTACAAACAAGTTTGAGGACCATGTAGCCTTTAAGAAGGAATTAAGAGTATACTGATAATGCAACTGTTTCTTATCCTGATTTAAGATTCGTTATTACTTTATACAAATTTTTAAAATTGAAATTAGGAATTTGAATTTACACGAATGTCTTGAATGTATCTGTGTTGTCCTTCTATTAATCAATAATTTTAGGTTATTATCCTTTGGACCTTTGATATACTCAGAGCCAGAAAGTGTAACTAATGTAAGATTAGCTGTTAAATGTAGGCTTGAAATTAGCTGTTAAATGTAGAATTGAAATACTAATCCAGGTAATTGATTTTTGCCTATATTTCAATTGTTATGAATAAAACAGGCAAACATAGGTTTGCATATTAAATTATACAAGCTGAAAATGTGTTACAAGAAAAAATACGACAGTTTTAACTAGATGTTTTTCAATGTAAGTTCATTTTTTGTACTTCACTTTTTATTTAAGAAATGTTAACAGTATAACAGCATCTATATTCATCTCACTAAGGAAGGATCAGTTGTTACTAATTAATGAAATTTAATTAAATATACTACTTTTGGTCTCACTTACTTGGCTGATAGAAACTCCGGGAAACATAACCTAGATATTTTGTTTTCAATTGTTAGAAAAGGTGCCAAACAGATTATGAAATTTGTGCCTAATTTAACTTAACATTGTTTAATTAAATGGAACTACTTCTTATGTACAGATTTACATGCAATCCAGATCTTTAATTTTTGCCTTCACAAAAGCATAATGTCTGTGATTACTTTTAATTTTTATTTCTGTATGAGACAAAAGTTGAGGACTTGGTGAAAGGAAATAGCAGTTACAGCAAAACCTCAATGGTTAAAATTGAGGAAAAAGTCAAAATTATAAAATACCTTTAAAGACATGCACTTTCCATATTTTCAAGTCAATTTTAACTAAAAACTAAGATAATGTTTCCTAGTAGAGTTGCTTGAAGATTAGACTAGACAGGGTTGATTTATTATTAGCATGTCATTTGTACATAAACTACTAGAAAATAGCAGTTTTAAAAGTTTTCTATTTCAGTTTTGTTTACACTCCTAATTGCTTTAAGCACTTTCTGTGTGTGTATAAACTGTAAAGTCTGGCCCAGCCCTTGTGAAAAAAAATCACAAATAAAATAATGAAGTTTTAATGAATAAAGTTTAACCAATTAGTAATGGTGGAAACTGTTTGCTGAAGCCACTTAAGAAATAAAGGTACTTTACAGCAATATTCACCATACTAGTGAAGATAAAACAAAAGAAATATTGAAAATTGAGGCAGTTAACCAAAGTAGCTCATATAAACAATAAAAACAGAGTTTAGCCTCATTTATCAAGGTTTGGTTGTAATTGTCTTAAGACTAGTAGGCATACTTACTCTGTTCTCCTTTTTAAAACCTTATTTCTTTGTGTGGAAATGTTATATCTGGGGTACTTACATGATTGAGCTTGACTATATGAGGTACTCTTAGTCTGTTAATGTCTTTCAGATTGACTTTAAAAAATACTTATCTTTATGATTTTTGTCATAAAGACTCACAAGCTTATAATTAAAAATCTTACTATAATGAAAGGAAATCATACATAAAATGTAGCCTGCCTTACGTATAAGCTAATGCAGAAAAGTTTAGACTTATAAAAGGCAGATAGTATATATATATTTATATACATGTATGTATATGGTATATTATACATTTGGTGGCAGAAAAGATACTGCATTTTCACATTGAAAAGAATACTTTGATTTTAGGGTTCTTTTAATAATAATATCCTGATGCTTTAAATATATGATTTATTTGTAGGAATTGGTTTACATAGAACTTTTTTGGAATACATCTCTTGTGTAAAGTGAATTATAATTATATAATTGTATTTAGTTACTACTGTAGATAACTTAAACTTGAGTAGTGATTGTTTTATAAAATGCTTTTATATACATTATCTCATTTGAACCTCATACCAGCCCTGAAATAGAAAGAACAAGCCAAATTCCCACTTATAGAGATAAAGAATTTGAGGTTAAGATAAAAGGACTCACTTAAGCTCACATGGTCAGTAAGTGGCAGAGCTACTAATAGGGAAAGAAGAAAGCTAGCATTAATGAATGCTGCCATGCGACAGGTACTACATTCTGTCATTTAATCTTAACCTAGTCTGAGAGATACATAATATAATTTTTATGAATAAGTAGTCTCAGTCGATGATCGAAAACAACAAAACAACAAAAACAAAATGAAACTAATCTGCTGCCTCTAATTTCCAAAAATGTAAGAAATTTTCCAGTTGTGAAAACCTCATGGATTTGGGCAAACTGAATGTATATAGGCCTTTGACAAAAGTTGGCACAAAAAGTATAAAAGGAGGCCTATGCTTTTCAGTTAACTTTTTGTAATATATGATTTAAAGTATTTTGGACAAATGCTCTATAACTAATCCTTTTATTTTGTAACTGTACTTAAAATTTTGACTCTTGCAACTAAGTTTAGCCTCATTCAGAATTTTTTATTTTGTGAGCATAATTTATTGTTTTAAATTAATTTTTAGCAGAGAGCAGTTAGCACTTAATCTGTAAACTGAATAATTTATCAAGTGCAGAAATGTGTTAATCTAATGGGTTTTGACTTAAATGCACCAAAGATTTTTAGTAGGTAGTAAATAGTTTAAAAGAATTTAAATTCTTTCTTGTTTGAATAACTATTTGTCCAAAGAAGCATAGTTGAAGTCCTAGAATAATGGATTTAAAAAAAAAACAAATCATTAGTTTGAATACTGAGATTGAGTATTGTTTGTGTTTATATGTATAAAAATAGGAGCAGAAAAAAATACTCTGGGAATAGTCATACTGACAAACCAATTATTAGTGAGAATATTGTTTTCCTCAGTTTAATTAATGCAATGTTATGTGTTTTAGTGAACACTACTAAATGCTAAATAAGCCTATTTTTTACACTACACTATCAAAATAATTTTTGCCTTTGAATTTTTTTAAGTTAAGTCGAGGTTATTTTTGTAAGAAACTCCACCTTTTTTTTTTTTTTTTTTGCAGCCTAAAATACCATGTAAGGTTAGGGATTGGTCCTTATGCCAGCAGGATTTAACCAGCTGTAAAGGTAGTCTTTGCATACATTTATGTAATTAAAACATTTCTTGCTGGGAGAATAGGAGTAGCAAAAATATGGTTTTAAACTGGTGCTTTATTAAGTGACTTCCTTTTAAGCGATGGCAGGTCATGAAATAAGTACACTAGTATAATTTTCTGTCAACCTTAAAAAGTGTCAAAGCATCTTTGTAGGGTGACTATAAACTTCTAATTAAGGGCTAATAAGTAGTTATCATTGGTTGCTTTTCAGTATAATTGCAAGCAAATTAAAAACAGTTAAAATGATATGTTTATAAGCTTGAATTTTCTTCCTACCATATCACTCTCATATGTCATTGATGAAACGTCATATTTTGAGCAGTAGCTCTTTGACAGAGTCCTTTTATACCCAGCCTTTTCTTCATAGAATGCTTTGTGCCTTTTCAATGAGTTGTACTTGCTTAGAGTTGATTCTGCTGGCTAGACTGTACTGATTAATTTTTTTATTTTTTTGGTTATGGGTCTTATGATTGTGTTGCCTGCTGGTTGGGCAACTTTTTTTTTTAGGTTGCTTTATGTTTATATAGGCAAATTGGCACTAAGTATTAGTGTGAATATTTGTTTTTATGATTTATATATCATTTTTAAAATCTCTGTTGTGGCCTTTATAGTTACTGTGAAGCCACTCTTGGGCCTGTCTCTAGATGCTTAGTGGAATCTGACAAGTAAAATAAAATGAGTAGTGTGTCTGCATCTGTGTCTCTGTCTATCTCTCTCTTTTAAATAACCAGTAACCATAACTACACAGCTCTGCACTGAATGACCTTATTTCAGTTTGCCTAAAACTGAACAAGAGGTGATGGTTTGAGATGAGTTTCTCATTAGGAGCAGCAACATCCCAACCAATATATAATGAGTTGATAAACTCAGGAAAAAATTAGGACTTTAAAGAAAGTTGTATTTGGATATTCTAAGATTCAGTGCCAAATTTAAAATGCCTAAAAATGTATTCTTTAATAAGGAACAAGTAGCATTTCTAAAACTTTAAGTAGTGTTATAGTAAATGTTACTTGCTGTTAGAGTGAATAATGGATAATGTGAGAATAATTTTCTAAACAATTTTTAGAAACTAGACAGTTCTTCCTTATATCCTACCCCTTTCCACATTTCTCTCTTGGTATAGTCTGCCATGTGAGGTTTTTGTTTGTTTGTTTGTTTGAGGGTAGAGGGAATCCTCTCCTTATTTCCTCTCAAATTATTTTTACTTAAGAAACCTTTTCCCTATAACCTTAGCATGCTTTCTGCTCTTTCTCTTTGGAAGTGGTATTAATAAGATAGGTATAATAGGACTAAGTTGTGTGGAAGATGAGAAAAGGAAGGTTTTTGTAGAGAGAGTGCTTATATTTTGTTTACTCTTCATGTTTCATCTTGTGTATCGATCATAAATCTATGATCTTAAGAAAAATCCTAAAACAATTTAAATTTAGCCTATGCAGCCAATTATATAAAGAGAAATTAAGGATTATATTCAGAGGAGAAATTAAGGATTATATTGAGAGCATAGAGGTTATACAACATAAATAGCTTTTTCTGGTCAAATTCTTAGGCAAAGAAAAGCAATCAGTGCTTGCATTGCTCTTGGAGATTCCAAAAGATGTACTGAATGAAGAATGTGTACACATCTCATTGTTATTGCGCCTTTTTTTGCTTGGTATTCCTGCTTGCATTACAG